TGTTATGAAACAGCGACAGCGTTATCGCTATGGCCTCCTCCGTTCGTATTGTCCTGGAGGTCTGGTAGGGGCAAGTGTTAACGAATAGGTGGAATTTCTTCAACATTTTGCTCAAAACTTTGCTCCTCTTCTCCACGGCGTAGCTTTTTTGTTTCCGCTCTTCGCGCTCCTTGATAAGCAGGTCTTCCAGCCCCTGCTTGTTTCCGAACACAATGAGGATGCAGCTGCGGTGGGGTGGCAAAAAAATTGGGCGATCAATGGGGTGATCAATGGGGTGATCAATGGGGCGATCAATGGGGCGGCTGGTCGAAGCTGGCAGGGCTGCGTGGGTTGCCACGCGTGAACATACACACATAAGAGGACGTGAATGTGTGAACATACACATATCTCGTAACGTGAATATGTGAGCATACGCGCACGCACTTGCGCGTGGCGGCGAACCCAACCTGACTCCTCTGACCGCGTCCGCCGCGTCGCCGATGAAGTGCCCCCGCTCGGAGGTGCCCACGATGTAGTCTACGTCGAGGTCAAAAACATCGGTCAGCCGTTTTAGGAGCTCGACGGAGTAGCCCCAATACAAATTGTACAGCTTTGGAGTACTTGGATTGATTAATTTTCCTGAAAATAAAACATTTGCATTTCTCTTCTGGAATAGGAGAAGCGAGTTGGGATGAAACAGGACGGTAACTCTCGTCCCAATATCCACGTGGTTAACATTTTCTATATGTGCATGAGCAAACAAGCCAACGTCTACTATGACCCCATTTGACTTCTTCTTTATTACGACCCCTTCGCGAAATGGAAGCCATTCATCGCTTCTCAAGTGATGGGGAGCATCCACAGGATTCATTATTCCTGAGTGCTTTAAAAAGTGGGTTATAGGGAAAAGATGCTTCCTCAAATATTGGGGTGTCTCCAAATATTGTAGGTTGTAATGTAGGTAATGACACAGGTAGGAATATTCTGGGGTTGTTTTTTCTCCTTCCTGTGAAGACGAATGACTGCTTTGTCTCTTTCCTTGCTGCTTACTGCCAACGCTATCGCTGTGGTAGTTTTTTTCCCCTTCGTGCGTCTTCTGTGGATGGGCAGTACCCTGGGGGGAGTTTCCACTGCTCAACTGCTTCTCACGCTGATCACGCCGCTCATAGCGCTCGAATCGTTCGTTCGCCATTTGGTCGTCATATATGTACACCTTCGAGACGGAAAAGACGGTGAATATTCTGGCCAAGTAGCTTGTCAAATAGGACTTTATTACGTCGCTTCTGTTGTTTATAATGGAAGAGGGAATGGCTACACAGAGGTCCACTTCTAAGTTTCTGCTAACGTTTGGTATTCTTTTCTCTATGCACTTCTTTATGTCTTCATTGAGTACAGCTTGTGCCTTCTCGGGGCTCGTCCTCGTTTCATCTGTTTGGTGGGCTTCCGTCGGGGTGGCTCCTATCTCGTCAGACTTCTCAACCCTGTCACTAAGCTGATCATCCTCCTCACCGCTAAGCCGGTCATCCCCCTTGGCGCGCTTCGCCTCCCCCGACCTTCTCCCCTCCTGAAGAAACCTCTTCGCACTCTTTCCCCTCTCCGTCATGACTCAGATAATCATTTTCTTCCCTCCGCCTGCCCAGGGATGTATGCATCAGCTTTGAAGAAGTGAACGTCCCCGTGAAGGTCCTCCTGAACTCCCATGTCGTAGCCCCTGAGGAGGTCCTCGTCAAGGCGCCTTCTTCTATTCCTCGTTGGGCCTATCCCTCTTGGCTCAATCGCACGCAGTTAAAAGCCAAATGGTGGGGGGCAACTTTTTCCACTCCCAGCTGCGTGGGCACGATGTGATTCTCTCGCTTCGGGAGGCCCCGGCATGATTGCAACGTTCGCGTGAGTGGGAAAAAAATGAAATAAAAAAATAAATAAAAAAAAAATAAATAAAACAAAACAAACAAAAAAACAAAACAAACAAAATGATTGCTCAAAAAAAGCGGATAGGACAAGTGCGGAGAAAACGCGGCGAGACGGGGGCCCCTACATATATATCCACATGTATATCAACAACTATATGCACATATGTACCGTTATACATTTTCCCCGTCCATGTATGCACTTGCTGGAGTGCTGCCTCTCCCATGGGGCCGCTTTGTCCCAATTGCGCTGTCCCGCAGTGCACACGGAGAAGAGTTTCCCTCTGTAATGTAAGAGGTGCAATAACGCAGCGCATGTCGTCGCTGCGGAGGACACACATAAGAGGGGGGAGCAAGAAGAAAAAAAGGACCATTTAAGTAAGCCCGGCGATTAGGACACACATAAGTGGTACATGATTGCTAAGTTCAAATCACCCCTTCTTGAGGAGGAAGCATTCTGCACATTTCAGCGCAGGCGATGTGAAGAATAGCACCGCGGGATGGAGCTCGGAGAGGAGAGGCCCAGCAGCTAGAAATGGGAACGACTGTCGTGTCCAACATGAGAGGCAAAATAAAAAGTACCCCCAGAAAAGTTTATCTAGAGAGGTGGAAAAAAAAAATGCATCCATAAGAACAGCTGGGAATGTGTAGAAACAGCAGACGCGGTAGTAATATCTTGACCCTTCCGCAAGCACAGACATCCTCGTGATCGCGCGGCATTTAAGACTGTTCCGCTTTCAGCTTTCCTCTTTCCGCTTCCCTTTTTGCGCTACCTCCTGAAAGAGTTGATCCTACATAATGGATTCCCCAAACGAAGAGGAGGAGTACAGAATGGCGTGACATGCACGAAAAAAAAAAAAAAAAGGGGTGCAAACTTGTGTACACCTCTTCGTCACAGATATAGTGGCAACAGTGGACAGCTCCCCCACGACAACTTCTCTACAACAGCTTCTCCGCGACAACATCTCCACAACGGCTTCTCTCCCCACAGGGAATACTTAAAGCTGATAAAATGCTCCAACAATGTGGAGTTCAAGACAAACGAGGAAATAGACGCGCTGGAAATCTGCATGGAGAAGTCGATCAATTTGAAAATAATGCAATACTTTGTTAACATAGAGGAGTTATACTTGATAAAGAATAACATCTCTGATATAACCCCCTTGCTGGACTGCACAAATCTTAGGGTCCTATTCTTGCAAATCAATAAGATCACCAGCATCCTAGGTAAAAGAGCGGAGGTGACAACAGGAAGAAAAGATGCCCTTTTTTTTTCTCTGGCGGTTACTCCATTAGCGGGGGAATTCACAGGAAGCTTCGTTTTATCCTCCGCTGAACGTGCAGGGGAAGCGGCAAATGGGGGTAGAGACATCTCTCCCTGTTCCGCATTTCACCGCCTCATGTTTACCGCCCCCCCTCACCGCAGGGCTGGGGAAGCTGAAGAAGCTGGAGAAACTGAACCTGTTCAGCAATGAACTGACAGAGAGCGGAATCGATCTGAGAGAAAACAAACAGATTCACTACATTGACCTCAGCGACAATGCACTAGAAAGTATAGACTTCCTCTGGGGCACCAATTCTTTTGTACACATCAATTTGGCCAACAACCGGATTCGAACCCTGGACCCGCTGCGCAATAATACCAACTTGGAGCACCTAAATGTCAGCGGGAATAGGTTTGCCTCTCCCGGCCTGCTCAGGGAGGCTGTTACGCAGTTCAGCCGTTATGGAGTTACGCAATTACGCAGTTATGTAGCTCCATTGGCCGCCCCATTGGCCCATCCATTCGATGCGAACTCTCCGCTAATTCGTCGACCACCACCACTACCCCCTTGGAAGGCTCGAGCGCTTTGAAGACGTCCAGGCGCTTCTCCTGCTGCCGAACGTTAAGGAGCTATACCTCAGCTCTATTTACTACAGTAATGCTGCACGCGGATACAGAGAGATCGTCACATGGCGATGGGGTGATAACATCATCTGCTCTGTGCAATTGAAGAGGCACAATTGAAGAAGCAGAACTGAGGATCCACAATTCAATGTGCACCATTGACGATGCACATTCCACGCTGAACTCCATTCTCCGTTCCGCCCCGAACAGGAAGCAACACTCTGGTGGGGAGCCTCCTCTACAAGCACTACTTCTGCACCAATTTTCCAAATTTACGGGTAGGGGCGAAATGGCACCGGGGGGCAGCACGTGGTTGTTCTTCCGTTGTGATGGCTGGACGGACAAGGAGAGTACATTCGATAAGATTTCTTTCTCGGTTTGATTCCACTGCTAACCTCCGTCTACTTGCCGCCTATCCATCGCCACCTACCAGATATTAGACCACCAGCTGGTGAGCAGCCAGGACAGAAAGCTAACCGCGCGGGACATGGAAACACTCAAAAGCATCTCCGACTTTAAGATGAATTTTATCGAAGAAAAATACATAAAGGAAAAACACCACCTCCTGTTTATTAACAACAAAAATTTATTTTACTTGAATGAGGTTCTATGGCCAATTCATTTTTACTTCAACATGGAGGGGTCTCCATCCGATCCTGTAATTGACTACTATTGATTCTAGACCTTACCTTGTTGTGGGTCTTTTCTTATATGCCCCCATTTTATATGTGCACAATTTGGACAAAACTGCCTGAACGGCTCAGACAGAATTTTATCTTTCAAATGGGCACCTGTGATTACACCTTCTCCCTTTTTTCTTTTTTTTTTTTCTTTTTTCCGGAAAAGACTACCCAGGGGGAACATGAGCGAATGGCAGAGATAAAACGGGAGGTATCCTTTTTGCTCAGTGCGTACACCTCCAGGTGGGACCGTCAGGAAGCTGAAGTGCAGCAAGTGTCGGAGCAACATCGCGCTTTGGAACGCCGCTCAAATGGAAGACCCCCTAATGAGAGCTTTCACCTGCCCCACCCCTGCGCGACAGATTTAACTACATCATGCGGAGGTTGAAGGAGGAGCGGGACCTGCAGATAAAATATGTCTCCACGGCGATGAATTCCTATTTCAATATTTTCTTCCAAGTGGTGACGAAGCAGCACTCAGAGTGAGCCTTCGGGAGGAGCACCTTGTCTGGCTTTTCTGCATAGATGAAGCTGTGCGTCTCTTCCGTTCTCGGCTCCACCGTGCGGAGCGGAAAAGCATGATTCGTATGGACAGGGGAAATAAAACGACATCGTATTGGGGTCTCCCCTGCGCAGGTACACCCAAGTGGAGGACTTATTGAAGCGGAACTTCAGCGCGGAGTCGCTAAAGAGCTACTTTGTGGAAGACATAAAAATTGAAAGCATCGTAAAGGTGAAGAAGCTCAACCATGGCTGCCTGGACGCGTTAATGTGAGTTGGGGTGACAAGAACGGAGGAGAACGGAGGAGAAAGGAAGGGGACTGACGAGTGCATTCCAGAAGGTGCACAGTTCCGACTTGTCTCCTCCCCCTCATTCGTTTTCTTTCTTTTTCTCTTTTCTTTTCCCTCCTCAGAGAGGACCACCTGAACAGCGTGGTTTATAAGAAAAATTTGCTCTTCCTGCACCCGTACAATTAGTAATAATAGAAAAGGGGGACCGGATGCAGAAAGAGGAAAAAATAAGGAGAACACGGAACGCGTCGTGAGTGGTTCCCTGGGCTGCCTCGTGATCCCCTGCCCCACTGCCCCACTGCCTCACTGCACACACCGCCATCCACCCAACCTCAGCTGCAAAATTAACGACCACTTCGATTTTGACGAGAAGGAGTTTGTGGTGGAGGACCCAGAGAGGAGGAAGTTCTTCGAGAGGAACTTCGTCTGCTCGTGCCGCAGCTTGAGACACGTGTTGAAGACAGCCATCAGGTGAGTGTGTCTCTGTATGTGTGTTGGATGGGGGCGGCTTGACCGTTACGCTGCAAGTAGGTTGCCCTGTGTAATCGCTTTACATGGCCGCTTTACAGGGTCGCTTTACATGGCCGCTTTACATGGCCGCTTTACATGGTCGCTTTCCACGGCAACCCGCAGGACGTTCCTCGCAGAAGATCAGGACGACCTGGTGCACCCGATTTACCGCAGAAGCAGGGGGGCGGCAACTCCGGCAGGCTCGCCAACCGTGGGAGTCTCCCCCGCCGCGTCCTTCTCGTCCACCGCGTGTGGACATGCAGCGGACCTAAACCTGAAGAAGAAAATTGTGCGAAGCAGAAGGTTCGACTTCCCTCCAGTGCGCATATACGTGGTGGAGAGTTACTTCTTCCCGAACGAGCACAAAGAGGTCACGGCCTACAGCTCGTCCGGATGTCGGGAAGAGAAGGAAAAAAAGGAGGAATCTAAATTTAAAATATATTACACCAAGCCAAGACACACGAACTTGAAATTCATAGTCAACGTCAGTCTGGTGGGTAGCGGCGGCGCGGTGAATAGCGGTGGAGCCGTGAGTCGCGGCGCAGTGCTGAGCAAGGGAAACTCCCTCACAAGGATAGGTGCAGAAAAAAGAGGGAAAGAAATAAAAAAAAACATCGACATGGACTTGCTAAATTGTTTAAAAATACAAGAGACCGTGGATACTCCAAATGGATCACATGAAAAGAGAAAACTGAAAAAAGATTTTTACGAGTGCCTTTTAACTTTCAATTCGATTAACTTCTTTTATGTCACCAAATATTTTATCAAATTGAGTAAAATCATTTGTGAGATCAAGAAGTGTGTGTCGATTCTTTTGGCTAGATTCAATTTGAAGCACCTGCTTCCCTTGAGTGTCAAAAATTTCGAGGATAAATTGGAAGTGACTTTACCTGAACATGTTCATATATTGGAGAAGAAGAGGTTGCACCTTGTCCGCCTCCTTAGAGAGTCATCTACAGGTGGGACTTCCCCCACTGCGCACACTACGTCAGAAGGAGCTACACAGGACGGGGCAGACAGGAGAGCGGACACCGAAAGGGAGGCCTTACACCTTAACAGCTTCCACGTACAGAAACTAAACTTCCCATTAATACAGTCCCTTTTTAAAAACTTAAAAGAGTTATGTCTAGTTAATAACAACATCAGCGACTTGAGTGTGTTTTTCCATTGTGGGGGGCAAGAGGGCATGGATTCTTTAGTACACCTCGACCTTTCCTTTAACTCTATCACGACCCTTGCCCCGATATGCAACAAATTTAGGAAGTTAATACACTTTGATATATCCTTCAACTGTATAAGTGATTACGTCGAAATTTCCATCTTCAGTCGGAACCATAAGGAGGTGCAGTCGCTGTCGTTTGGTGGCAACTCCCTCTATGTGAAGCCCTCCCACCAGGAGTATATCCGGAGGATTTTCCCCCGCATCGTATGGCTCAATGGGGTGCGCGTGACTTCCAGCGGGGAGTTCCATTTGGAAGCGCACTCCTCGGTCGAGAGCCCCTGGGGAGAAGGTAAGGCATCCAGGAAAAGTGGCGAAATGGCGCAGCGTTTGAGTGGAGTGGGCAGTGCACCGCCCAATAGATGATCCGCTCATTCTGTCCACGCTCATCTCTTTGCAGCTTTGTGTGCATCCGCGAACCCCAGCAGAGAAGCCATCATTCCGAAGGAGCCCAAGCGCAGCGACTACCTCAATAAAGTGGAAGTAGTGAATATGTCAAACTTTTACACCCCGCTCCCCATCTCCGACTTCTCCGTCTTGCCAAACTTGAAAGAATTAAACCTGGCGAACAACGGAATGGAGAGTGTAGACGATCTCAAACTGCCGACCACCTTACGTAAGCTGAATTTGCGAAACAATCGATTGAGAGGAATCAATTTTTTAAAAAGCAATCTAAACATTGAAGTACTCATTTTGAACAAGAACGATCTTGCAAATATCGACATGGTGAACTGCTTGCGAAAGTTAAAGGTACTACGATGTGCACACAACAAATTGGAGACGATCCCGTTAATGCAAAATGCAGAGCTGGTCGAGCTAAACATACACGATAACGTCATAAAAGACATTACCCATTTGGTTCTGATGAAAAAAAAAAAGTCTCTAAGGTGTATTAACATTTATAACAACAAAATAAACTTCCCCAATTTAGAACTCTACATTATGCACACGTTCAGAAATTTGATCATCCTAAATGGCAACTACATATCGAGAGGAGATCATGTCGATTCATTTTTTAAAAACATCTACACGGTGAATGTTTTTCACGATTTGTATAACTTGTTTCCTCCGTACACCTCTTTGAGAAGCCTCGAAATTAAGAACCTAAAAATTCGAAGCATCATGTTTCGCATCAGCAATGAGGACTTTCCTAACTTGGAACGCCTGGACTTGTCCAATAACTTCCTCAGCAGCATCGCCAACGTGGGTCCGCTGGACGGCCTCAAGGTGGGCAAAGCAACGCGGCGAAGAGCAGCAGAGAAGCAGCGCAGAGGAGGGGAGAAAAGTATCTTTGGGCCTCCTGCCAACCTGCACCGCTTAGGCATTCCCACCCCATCTGTCTTCCTCATTTGTCTTCCCCATTTGTCTTCCCCATCTGTCTTCCCCATTTGTCTTCCCCCTTTGTCTTTGTTATTCTTCTTTCCCATATTTCTTCCCCATTTTCCTTTTTCATTTTTCTTCCCGTCCCCCCTGCAGGTCCTCCTCCTAAACAACAACAAACATATCATCGACGAGTCCTTCACGGGGCCGGACGGAAGGAACGTACTGAACTGTCTTAAATCACTGGAGGTGGGGATTGTACAGCGCTGCTCACGTGGAGTAGTGCCAAGACCGAGTAGCAGCCATACTGGCAACTCCTCACCTGGAGCGCTGTCCACATGGAGGCATTCCCAACACGCTAGCTTACACTGCTGACGATGGTATTCCCCTACTTCTCTTCCTCCTATCTTCCCCCCTCCCGTGCAGGAACTGGACATCAGCTCCTGCATGTTGTGCCGAACGGACTTCCTCAGCAAGTGCACTCATTTGAAGAACCTGAGGAGCCTCAACCTGGAAGGAAATAACATCCACTCAGTGAAGAGTCTCTCCCATTTGGAGAGTCTCCTCGATTTAAATTTGTCAAACAACAAAGTGTCGAAGATGTGCCCTGATGCGTTTCCATCCCAAGTGAAGCGGCTGAGTCTGTCCAACAATTTGATCAGGTTGGGTGACCACGCGGCGATGTGGTGATCAGCTCAGCGGTAGACAGGGACAATCTCCACGATGACCCGGCACCACACGGCCTTGCGGCCTTTCCACCTTTCCCCCGCTTCCACTTTACAGGAATCTGGCCCCACTGCGCACACTGCAAAACTTGGAAACCCTGGACCTCCGTGTTAACCGAATCGACAACGAAGAGGAGTTCACCTCATTAAGGGACATGCACAAATTGAGAATTCTGTACCTAAATGGAAACAGGAAGATAAAGGAACACTTCCCAAACATCAGGAATATGCTGAAGCAGGTGGAGACGTTTGACGACAAGATTGTGAGAGAGCATGACGAGATCATGCAGCATATGTCAGAGAAGAAGGAATGGGGCAGAAGCGATCGGGAGGGAAATGCGAAGGAGCAACGGGTGGAGGTCCACTCAGCGGCAAAGAAGGATCCCACTAAGGAGATCACTAGGAATATCAATAGGGAGGCGCCTAGAAAAGGGGTGGCCCCCGGGGCGCAGGTGAGTTGTCCCCTAAAAGTGCAAAATTTCTGTCCCCTATGTTTGCGTCCCATTATGTGTTCCTACCACGCACCCTCCCCCTCCTTCATATTTTGTGCAGACCAAGGTGCAGCGCCCCCCAAAGAAGAAGGACTCCTTTGATGAGGTAATTGCAACGAATGGGAAGGAGGAAATGAGGCTCGTCCCAGTTTGACGCCTCCAGCGAATACGTGTCCCACTTGATCGGCAGATGGGAAGATTCATTCCGTAACACCTCTTCCCCGTGTGTATAATTGGACCATTCCGATGTGCGAAGTCCTGTGTGGTCCATCGGTAGAGGCAATGGAAAATTTTTTTTTTCTTTTTTTTTTTTCTTTTCTTTTTTTTCTTTTTCTTCTTTTTTATTTTCTTTTTTTGTTTTTTATTTTCTTTTTTATCTCCCTTTAGCGAATTAAGAAAGACAGCTTTACCATTATAGGTAAACGTGTAAGCAAAAGCGGTGATTACTAAGGGAGGACTTCTTCCCCCCCCCCACCATTTTGTGCCAATTGGAAGAAGCAACTTTGTTTGAGGTTTTCCTTGACAGTGGTTACCTCCTCACGCGAAAGGGTATGCACAGAATGGCACATCAAATGTGGACTGCCTTTTTTTTTTTTAAGAACGCCATTTAAGCATATGGAAAAAAATAAACCCTCCATATGATTATTTTTCCTGCACAGAGTGGTGCTTTTTTTTTTCTTCTTCATTTTTGCTAATCGTGGGGGAGGGGATTCACTTGGCGCCATAACGTGCTGGGTTGAATGGCCTTTTTCTGTGACGCTTCAACGGGTAGGTTGATTGGCATAATGGGCTAGTACGGCGATGAAAAAATGGGAAGGTCACAGTGGGCAAAGCACGTACCCGTCCAGTATTCTTCCCCCAAACGGAAGAGGCAAAACGGATGGGGGAGCAACAGAAGGGTGAACAGATTGATGGATTCAATTATTCGGAGACGCAAAAGGTTGTCCGCTTGTCTCTCTGTCTCTTTGTCTGTTTTTTTCTTCCCCCTTGTCCTGTTGCCATCATAATAATAGTCATCGTCGCATAATCACCATCGTTGGACCCTTTCTTTTTCATAAGGCGAGCATGAGGTGGACATTTCTCAACAGGCGTCTGCGCTGCAACGACGTACCATTATGGAAGACACCGTGCTGTGTGTCTTCCTTCGCTGCGCAATCTGCGTGGCATGTGGAACCCTTCTGGAGGAGGTTTCCCTTCAAGGGGGTGCCACACAGATGGGGAAAGAAGCCTATTCATGGTTTACCTGTACATACATAAACATAACTGCAGTACAATTCTTCTTCACACGCGTGTCGTCAGTTGTTCCTCCCGCGCCGTGGACACGCGGATGTGCACGTGAATGTATATGAATATATACACGCACATATATACACGTACATGTGCCGGCTTCTTTTTTATATGGAAATGGTTAACTGAACGGTTATGTGAATGCCAACGTGAAGGCCATACTTTTCGCGGCGAATCTGGGGAAAGGATTAGCTTCCCCTTTATATGTCCTTAAAAAAAAAAAAAAAAAAAACGGAGGGACTTCTTAACCGGTCAAAAGTCAATCACCAACATTTCACCCCATCGAAGTTGACGTGGCTGGTGAAGGAAAGAAAATAATTCCATAACACCAGGGGGGAGCAGCGAACCGAAAGGATTGTGTACGAACATGCACGCAGAAGGATATTTGTAACAGCAGGCATAGGCATGCGCCGCTTCAAGCATGCGAAGGGGCATATACATTCGCATTTTACGTGCTTGCGCGCGAGCGAGGGAATAGAGTGGCGAACGAAGCGGCTAACCCGTTTGAGGAGTTAACTGTGCAGAAAGGGAAAGCCACGTTAATTTCTTCTTTTTTATACTGCCTTAGAGAGGCCATCAAAGGGGTCTCGCATCGCTCGAGAGGGACAAACTTACCCAACATACGATCCACTACATACACGTTGTTTTATCCGCAACCGTATATGTTTCCCCCTTTTGTGCGGCCCCCCATTTGTGAGGCCCCCGTTTCCTTGCGGGTTAGTGCCTGAGTGAGAAATTGCCACGGCCCGCTGAAGCAAGATTACCAAGGGTAGAGGCCATCCCAACCCATGGAGGGCGGGGAGAGTCGGCCCGTCCACACGGGCCCTGCGAGTGGGCCGCAGGAACGTCTCGAAACGCAGGCAGCGATTGCGCCTACTGATGTGGTTCCCCCGCACAGTGAGCAGGCGCTCACCCCTCAGCCGCTCACCCCACAGCATCAACAAATCGTAGACGCCCTCTACGACACCTGGTCGAATGACCAAGACCGAAGAAAGGATTCAGACCAAATCCTCATCGAATGCGAAAAGGAACAACACTTCATTCTATACCTCCTAGACATATGCTGTCTCACAGAGGTCCACAACAATGTTAGGAAGATAGCAATCATATACTCTAAAAATTTGGTGAGTCGTTTCTGGAACTCTAAGGATCTCTTCCAGTATAGTACCGATATAAAGAAAATGATAAAGGAGAAAATAATGATCATCCTGGAAAACAAGACCACCGTCATGCATTACTACAAGGAGTTATCCATCCTCCTGAGGAAAGTTGCCAGATATGAGTTGGTGCATAATTTCCCACAACTTCTACAGTTCTTCGTTGAAGAGTTGAGTAGGGGCTACAGCGTGGGCAGCCTCCCCACCAGCAGAGACCCCCTGTCCTGGCTCCACACCTACATGTACCTCCTGTACAAAGTACTCCGGGAGCAGTACAGCAAGAAGCTGCTAAAAGACAAGAGAGAAACCTTCCATATCTCACAGAAGTTTATCGACTGTCTGTACCCCATCTGGGAAAACAATCTGAATGTCTACTTTCAGTGCAACCTGAACGAGCTGTGTATGTGTGGCAGTGAAGGCACCTGCAGCAAGTGCTTTGGGGAGTACAGTGCTGTGATGGAGCTTGAGGCGCAGTTGAGGTTAGCGGCGGAGGTGACGTTCGCGCCGGAGATGTCCTCCGCGCCGAAGATGTCGTCCGCGCCAAGTGTCAGTTGCACCGAATGGGTGCCCCTCCAAGGGGGGAGGTACAGCAGCAGTGTTGACGGGGCAGACTCCAGCGACTTGCATTACACGGGGGAAGCCTCAGCGGGGAGAAGAGACGCCTACTGCTGCCACTTTAACGCGGATAGCGACAAAAAGGTGAAGATCCTCAAATTCATGGACAGCATCCTGCTGAACCTGCTTATCAGTAGGGACGACGTTCAGAGGGAACGGGGGAGAATCTGCCCGGGGGGGGAGAGTCGCCTGGAGGATGCCCTCTGCCATCAGGGTGACTCCTCCCAGCAGGATGGCCGCCTTCAACAGGGTTACCCCTCCACGCAGGGTGATCGGTGCGCCCTGCGAAAGAAGCCCTTCCTGGACTGCCTCGCCAACAAAACGATATTCTACCTCAAATTCGTGCGGAAGGATTCGCCGCTGTACTACCTCAAATATCTTAAGTTCCTGCTGAGTAGCTTCCTCCACATCATTGAATTTCAGAGTGGCCTGCATGAGTATATAAAAAAAGACACCACGGAGCAGTTCATCTGTCGCTTCCTAAAGAAGCATCTCAGTAAAGATATGTACATAAATAGTGACTGCTATGAGAGCAAATTTGTAGACATAATTAACCTATGCATTGATATTCTGAGGAGTCTCTTTTACCACTTCTGCTTAAGTCAGTACAACCTCATAAAGCAGAAGAAGGTCCGAGAAAACTACCTAACCGTTAAGAGTATGATTAACAATCAGAGTACCTTGTGTGAAAACTACCCTGAAAAGACGGACCTGCAGACAAAGATTATAAACACTCTAGTGGTCAATATGAACAATCTGGAGTGTGAAAGCAAAAAAGGGAGAGTCAATAAAAATTACACCTTTAGGGATATCTTGACGTATATAAGGGAAGAGGTAAAATACGCACTGACTAGCGATGAGTATATTTTAATGCACAATCAGAAGGCTCTGGAGATATTCGAATTTTTGAGGACACACTGTATCAACATGTCTGCTGAGCAAATCATGGATATCATGCTGAATGTTAAGGATAGAGATGGACACCAAGTGGAGGAAAATATCTTCTACTCCTCTGCAAGAGAGTGCATTATCGAAATAGCATCCGAACCTTTTCTCTTCTCAATCTTCAGTCATTTCTTCGAGCCGTTAATTAACTCTCTACATAATTACGTTCACATGATTAAGTCCGTTCCGGACAATCTGAAGAACCTACAGGTTCCTGAATTCTCTGAATCGATTATTGAGCTGGATGGGTACCTAAATATCTACTACGTGTTGTATTCTTCTCTACATAAGAGAATAAAAGCGGAGCATATCCTTTGCATGATTCAGTTTTTCACCGAATATTTGTCGATTCAGTTTACTCACCCTTTGGTCAGTTACCGCATTGCGTTAATATTAAAAGTCTGGATTAAGAATTACAAGGCTTCCTTTCCCTTCATTGATGAAGTGACTGTTCTCATTTTTGAGAATATCCGCTTGCTCTGCATGCACTTGTCTCCCAAGTGTGTCGTCGATTCTCTTCTCCCAGTCCGATCCTCATCAGGTGCCTTGGGCGAGAGAGACGCTCCCCCGGAAAATCACTACGCCGCCATGTCGGCCAACTTCCTCCCCCTCGTCTTCTTCAAATTTGTCTGCCTCTTTAACTACATATTTAAGTACGAATATGTGTACGAGAACTATGACTTTATTAACGAGATTCTGGTGGGCCCTCTTATAAGTCTCCTCACCCAGGTGCGCAAAGATGTGCGAGTGTGCGAGCGAGTGTTCATGCCAATGTTGATACCACTGTCTAAATATCCATTCCGCGATTCGCTTGTCCCGTGTCTGATCTTTCATCACTAACGCCTGCTTCTTCACCGCTACCCCCTGCATCTTCACCGCCAACGCCTGCTTCTTCACTGCTACCCCCTGCATCTTCACTTCTTTCCAGATCAACTACCCAAAGAGCATCCAGAAGATCCTCCAGATCCTCAGCCACATCGTCTTCATCAGCAACAAAGAAAAGGACATAACGATTTTCAAAGACAACTACAATTTTCTGCTAGACCTCTACAAAACCAGCAACCTCTCCATCAAGGAATACATGCTTAACATCCTCGTTCAGATACTGAACAAGAATTACGAATTTGGCTGCGGCATGGTGGAGTTCACCCCACAAGGAGGGCGACGACGCCATGAAGTAGCTACCGACTCTGCTTCGATGAATACACGCGGGGGTGATGACAAGCACATGCAGGGTTATTCCCCTCACCAGGGTTATTACTCTCACCAGGGGGGCGACGATTATGTCCTGTTCTACTTCAGCTTGGACGTAATATCCTATACCATCCTGGGGAGGAAAACCTCCGAGCAGGTTTCACCCCCGTGTGGAGGAGGCAACATCTACTCCGATCATCAGCCACCGCTTCTTCCCAGCGAAATAAATCTGTACGTAGACCAAACCATTAGCGACAGTTTCTACACCCTATGGCTGTCTAATCTGAGGATCATCTCTAAATTATTCTGCGCGAAGAATGAGGAGATAATCAAGAGGGTCTGCTCCCTGTATGTACGGACGGCCCACGTGATATGCGAGCACTTTAAGAAGAAGGTCTCAAGCGAGACGACGCAGGAATTGAGCAGCTCCTGCTTTGATGTCCTCATGGAATACATGTGTCTCTTCATCCTTCACGAGACGCACACGTTTTACCTGACATACGAGTCTCTCTCGACTAATGTGCTTACCAACGAAATCGTGAAACCCCAATTGCTAGCAATCGTTAGAAATAACTTTACCCTGGATGATGAAGGAAACACGGAGAGATGCCTCTACCTTCTGCACGTCTGCCTCGGTTTGTATAAAAAGAGAGTGAAGGAAGACATGCCCGTTCTCTACAACTATCTGGCCAACTTTGTCGTCATATACTTCCTGAAGGTGGTATTGAAATATATGGGGAAGTTCTTCCCTGTGTATACGTACTTTGAGGGGTCGCCCAGAGTGAGTAGGACCAGCGAAAGGGGAAGCGAAAGGGAAAGTGAAAAGGGTAGCACAGGGCATCTCCACGGTGAGAGGGGCGAAGAGAGACGCATCGAGAGCCTCCTGCAGGGGGAGCGATCCCCAGAGTTGCTCTCCCCAGCAGAGGGACACGCACCGAAGACGGAAAAGGAAGATGCAACCAAGCAGAAGTTCATGACGCACAATGAAAGGCAAACGAAGTACATATACGAAAATGTGATGTCATATCAGCGTGAAGAAAGTTTTGATACCCACTTTGGCATCCTCCAAAATGATCTGAAGCAACTTCTAGGGATGGAATACCTAAAGGACTACGACCTCGGAGAAGCCTTCAAAAAATATAACTTCTACACAGTCAATGAGGATAATTACCCATACGTGAACAAACACACAGTTCTTACACTGATAGCTCTCTTATCAGTGGACGAATCTAATATACTCCATTATGTCTTAATTTGCTTCCTAATGTACTTTCGAATCAATGTCCCACTTTTCCTTTCTTCCATCTTTTATCAAGCCCAATACATACACAACAAGAGCGTCATGATGGCACTGCTGTTGTTCATTTATGTCCTAACGGAGAATTATCTTTTTCGTGACTTTGTACCCTCCCTTGTTAGATCCCATTTGCCAGCCACCTGCAGTAGTAGCAGCCCCTACCTGAAAGAACTCCTCTACGACAGAAACAAATGCTCTGACTTGTTCGCCTGCACAAGGGAGGACTACACGGTTATCATCATACAGCTACTTAAGCTCATTAATACCATGCTGAACACGAGCAGGGACATCTACATTGAGAAGAAGAACATCCTCCACCTGAGCACCGTTTCGTCCAACCTGAGCGCAACGAAAATGTACCACTCCGCTGGCTACAACTGCGTCATGCGCGAAGTACTCAAGTACGACGACCTCCCGGGTAAGAGCAGCAAAGCGGCAGTGGCTGCGAAGGTGGAGAGGCTACAAAGCTGCAATGCCTACAAAGGTGTTTCTCCGCTCACACACACTGACTCCTTTTGGATGGTGCTCACCAATCCGATTTTATTCTCCCCTTCTGTCCTATCCTATGCTTCCATACCCCGCTTCCCCCCCCCTGCAGGCGTGTGCAACAAAGCCCTCGATAACGTCCTGACCTTTCTGAGGGACGTGAAGGACCTGGACGATCGGAACGCGACAAGCGCCATTGTTAACTACCTGCGGGACAACGTGGAGGGTATGAACGTCGCCCTCGTCGACATGTACAAGAAGTACCTGGGTTATCAATAGGGGGCGACCCCCTAACCCCCGTGCGGAGTTGGAACGAATCGATGGGCCTGTTAGAAGAGGTCGTTTAGTGGAAGCCATTTCAGGTGCAACGAAGAGAATGAAATGGGAAAGGCACCACGCGGCAGGACGTACACACGCGTGCAGGTGCGAACGCGTACGTGGATACGGGGCAGGAATGGGGAGCACAGAACTGAAGGAGGAACCAAGAGAAGGTGGAGCTGTGCCCATGAGAAGAGTCAGAATGGTGAAGGCGTATCGCGTAATGGTGAACGATAAAGTGTTGTAAGGAAGAAAAAAAAAAGAAAATTAAATATAAATAGCTAGCTAGCCAATTGCTAACAAAATATGCGACACACGTCCTACCACCTGAACGGTGCAAAAAAAAAAAAAAAAAAAAAAAAGATATACATAACTAGCTATACAAATCCGAAGAAAACAAGGGCCACGCTTCTCACCGCGTAGTCAGTGCAGGGAAAAGAAAAAAATTAGATAGACATAGACACAGATCGACATAGATAGACATACAATTAGATAGAATTACATACGCATAGTTAGCTACACGCGCGATCACTGAAGGGAACAAATCTCAGTTGCCCACATTTTCCAGTTCGCCGCACTCGCACACAGTGCACCAGTAGTAAATGTACAGGAGCTGCAGAATTATGACGTTGTTGGATTTTTCTTCGTCCCCATGCTGCGCATCTTGGTTAACATTTTGGGCATCCCCCTTCTTGGTGAGGTTTGCCGTACAGTAGGAAAGCGGCGTGGTGTTGCTGAAGAGAAAATCGTCGTCCATATGGAGGAAGAAACACGTGTGAGGCTTGTTTCGAAAAAGAAATTTTACAATTTTGTTTGACGCTGAAACCATGGGAGGAGGATTGTTAAGGAAGTAGGATTGAATATAATTTACAAAAATATTTTGGAAGTTTTTTTTATTCCTAAATTCAGTTAAATAATTAATTTTGTTTTTTTTCCGTTTCATTACGTCGAAGATGGGTATGTTAATATCGACGAGAGCGAAGTGGAAGATCCTTTTGTGATGGCTTCGCCCTTGCCCCTTACTTTGGATTTCCCCCCCCTGTCTTGATGAGAACTCCAATTTTATGAGAAAGATTATCGTGTGCCTTTTGTATTTATTTATCTCTTTATAATTTATGAGCCTATTTATGTTTCCAATTTTTTTTAAGTCAATGCAAAGCGAGTATGGCGCGGCGTGTTTGTGGCTTCCGCGTGTGTTTAAATCTGTGTCCGTGTTGCCATCCGCATCCGCAGAAGGGTCGTGAGGTTCATCACCGGGAGGGGTACACTCATCGGGAGGAGTGCCCCCATCGGGAGCTGCACCCCCCTGAAGCTTGTGCGCCTCCTCAATGCCCGAGAATACACGCCTACCAATGTTGTACAGGTGTCCCACCCCCCGTTGTGCATACATGTGCAATGTTAAGCTGTACGTGTCATCGGCATACGTTTCATTCGTTTTTTTTTTTAATTCATTTATAATTTTAGTTAAAATTGTTTTTTTTTCCCTCGTGTTAGATCCCTTTTGTTTTCCATGTGCATCATTTGTGCGATCGTCTTGACATGTGCCTTTTTTTTTAATCCTTTTTTTTTGCGACTTGTTTGGAGATGTGTCCACGTCCTTGTTGGGGCACTTCGATTTGTCGTCTCCTCCCTCGTGATAATTCGTATCCTTCCCCTTTTTTGCCCGTCCTTGTTTGCAGTCCCGTTTCGAATCGTGGTGTTTTCCCCACACGCGCGCAGGGGGAGGCTGTGCATGTGGCTTTGGGGATGCCCGCGCATGTAACGGAGCTTCTAACCGCGTCGCTAACCGCCCTTGTAACCCTCCTTCTGGTTTCCCCCCGCTGGCCTTCCTCGCCGCAACCTCGAAACAGTCGGCAAACGAATTCAAGAAAGACATTTTTTTTTTCCGTGCGCACGTCAGGGAAAAATTAAACAGCGCCACGTTGTGCTGACCCACAAACTTCTCCACGTACTTGCACACCACGGAGGACATAAGTCCATTGCAAAAAATGTGATTTATAAATATGTGGTCAAAGTGGTACACCTCCCGGAGGTACAGGATGGTGTGCTTGTCGACAATCTCGACTCTGTTATTGTGGAGGAGGAATTTCTCCAGGTTTTTTTTTTTAATGTCTAAAATGAATACCATTGGGGGGGAGGAGGAGAAGGATGACGAGGCGGCTCTCCTTCTTGTTCCTCTTCTTCCTCTTGTGTTGGCCCCGCATCGTAATTGTGTCCCTCCACTTACCCGCCCCGCTACTGCCTTCCATTTGCATGGCTGTATTGGTACTCGCATCTTAGAAGGGTTGTCCAAATTTCGAATGATTTTTTTAGCTCTCCTGTCATACGCAAACATCTTCATTTCGTTTAACGTGTCTTTCGTGTCCTCCTCGTTTGCCGCTCTATTCCTATCGCTAAATCGGGCGTACAAAAGAGTCATCATTTTGAGAAGCGCCTGGACGTCGCTGCGGAAATTGCTATACTTAGCATGCAGGTGGAGGAGCTCTCCGTTTGTTGTTCCCCTGGATGGGTTTTTCCTCATGTCTTCTCTGCAAAGGGAAATGCCATTTTTCAAGAAATTCTTCATCGCAAGAGGGATTCCCTTTGGAAGGCGAAGCTCCCCTTCTGCACCTCCCCCGTTTAGTGCCTGCCCCAGCTGCAGGCGAACTTCGTCCACTATTCTGTACGCCTCCTTCACATTAGACAATCTTTCGAATCCGCTAAGTTTGTTTCCCAGCAATATCTGTGCTCTTCTCAGTTGCTTATCTTTCGTGCGGACCTCTTGGTTTATATCAGTCTGCGTGGGAGTGGTTCCGTAATTCAGTCGGAATCTCCTCCTAACAGTTTGCACCTCCTTGTTCGCGGTCTGGGAGGAGAAGCAAGAGGGGGAAGAAGAAAATATCTATGTACACACGCCTGGGTGAGAAGCACACCTAAGTGGAAATGGTCCTGCCACGTCATATGGATACCCATCTTAGTAGTACCACTTAGCATGGTGACAGCGTGTGTGTCCCCTGTTATTCACCTGCAGACTCTCGTACAGGCGCTGAGCCTCCCTCTCCTTCCGCTGCACATATCGCACGTAATAGAGGAACAGGTCCCCCCTCGTGTGATACTTCTTAACCGTCTTATTGAAGTCTCTCTCCTTAAACTTTATGTCGTACTGTTTTAGCTGGTCGAAGCTACTTGCCATTTTGCCACTCCGAAGTTCGAGGAGAGAATATATGACTGCCTCGCTGAAGGTGTGAGCAATTTTTTCTTCCATCTGATGATCTTCCTTCAGCTTCTTCTCTTCTTCGTTTTTGCTTATTATTTTCCTAATGATGTCTGTCTTTCTGGTTGCTTCTTCCTCTAGGGGGAGTGTTATCCTGTCCAGCGGTTCCTTAGGCGGGGCGTCGGCGCTTTCGACTTCTCTACGTAGCAACGGCTCCTCCGTGGTAGGCTCACCTGCAGGCGGGCTTTTCCCCTCCGGGGTCTCGCCCCTCTCAGGTTCCTCTTCAACTCCCCCCTGTCTGGCTTCCTCCACACATGGGATATTTTCCTGCACCTCCACCATTTCTACATCTTCCTCGATTTCTTCTTCCTCTACTTCTTCCCCATGCTGCCCCTGTTTTTCCGTTGGGTCTTCCTCCCATTGGTCTTTTCGGCATTCCGCGGGGGTTGGTTTGTCCTCTTCGCCTGCTTCTTGCGCTTCTTTCGACTCGTCCTCTTCCTCTGTCTTCTGAGACTCCTTCGGTCCGTTCTCTTCGCCTGTCCTTTGCGCTTCTTCAGATTCGTTTCCTTCTTCCTTCTCTTCTTTCACTCCCTCTTCCTTCACTTCCTCGTCCTCTTCCTCCACTTCCTCGTCCTCGTCTTTCACTTCCTTTTCTTCCTCCTCTTCCTTCACTTTTTCTTTCTCTTCCTCTACTTCCTTCTCCTCCTCTTCTCCTTTCCCATTGGCGGAACCACCCCCATGATGCGCCTCCTCCTCTTTTTCGAGTGCCCCTCCATTAGAGCCAACCGCCTGAGCATGGTCAGAAAAATGCGGAGCCTCCCAGTCGACGTCTCGGGCGAAGTTGGATGGCTCCAAAGGGTAGAAATGATCTGAATTGGTGACGTCCTCTGAATGGGTGTCGTGTTCAGAGGTGATGACCTCCTCCGAATCTCTGACCTCTTCCGAATAGCTAACCTGCTCTGAGCCTTCTAAGTTCTCCCCTTTTACCTCCCTCACGGGGGGTGCCTCCTTTTGGTGGGCACACTGATGAACGCCGTCTCTTCGCTGATGAGACTGTCTCCAATGCCACCCCTCCGCACCGTCCCTTTGGAAAGACACTGCCTTCGCTCCTCCAGTCAGTCGTCCAAGGAGGTCTACAAACGGAACGGAGTACCTCGCGAAGATACGATTTCTGCAGAAAATGAGAGTCTGATGTGAATTTAAGTACAAATACAAATGCTTCAGACAATAACTGACGTTAACGAAATAATTGAGGAAAGAGTCCGAGGGAGGACTATGTCTTTGTTTGTATTTGACTAGGGACATTATTATCTCTAGTTCCTTCTTCGCCACAGCTAGCTGTTCTCTGTGCGTACCCATCGAAGTACCTTTCTCGGGGCAAGCACAAACAGCGCAGATCGCTGCTCTATCGGGGGGGAACTGACGACGAAAACAGGACAAGCAAACGACGGGATGGTAGTGGAGCAAATTGGTGAAAATGAAGAAACAGGATATGCACATAGGTTTGACTGCACTGATGGAAAGAATGATTTCTTTTATTTTCCCCATTTGGGTGTCTTCTACGCACAGGACGCACTTTGCGGTGGGCTGGTCCTGCAGGCAGGTCGTCCAGCAGTCGTTCCCCTGATTTGTTGATTCCCTCTGTGCTGGCATGTCCTTTCCCAGGAAGGAACTGCTGAATGGGAAGTTACTCTGAAGGGGATTTTCCCAGTCGGCGTGGAACTCAGGGATGGGACTCCCCCCGTGTGAGTTCCGTTGCCCTGGGTGAGGAGATGCACTCCATTTTGTATGGCCCCTCCTGTCCCTTCTGTTCTTTGTAGTAGTGATAGTAGTAGTGGTACCTTTCCTGCACTTGTCCTTTCTTTTTTTCTGCTCTAGTGCACATTTTGCACTCTGATCAGTGTTGAAGAATGAGTCATTTATCCTTTCGAGGCATTTATTCACCCTGCGATGTTTTTGTCTTTCTTTTTTTCTTTGTCTTTCTTTTTTTTTTTCTTTCTGACTGTGCTCCCACCAGGGATGGTTGCTCCTCCTCTGCGCAGGGGGCCTTTTGGGGGGATTTATTTTTTCGGGCCTCCTCGCGAAATGGGCAGACGAACTGCTGTTGGTGTTGGAGGACCAGGCGGGTGAAGAGAAGTCCCCCCCATCGTCCTCGCTTGCAAGATTCTCCTCCTCTGAAGAGAAGAGAAAACCTTCCGCACCCGACTCGGAAGAGTCGCTGGACAAAATACCGTGGCTGTTTTTGAGGATTTTCCTCAGCAGAGCATACTTCTTCTTCGGCATGGCGGTGCGGGGAGATACGCCTGTCTGGGTAGTAGCTATACGTGTGAAGAAATTCTTCTCCAATTTAGTCCCCACACGGTTGCAGATGAATTATTTTATTTTATCTTACTTTATTTATTTATTTTTCTTTTTTTCTAACCAGACAACGTCCCCTTCTGAGGACACCCCCTGGAGATTGTCTCCCTGCCTTTTCTTCAGTTCATCAGAACGAGTCTTCCGCGGGGTCGCAAAAAAAAAAAAAAAAAAAAAAATCAAAAAATGAAGAAAAATGGAAGAGTGGCAAAACGGACAAGCAACACTTTAAATAAGAAAAAAAATAAATAAAACAAACATAGCAAAGACCACTGCGCTAGAACAAGATAAGCGTGGGGGGGAAAAAAAAGAAGGCCATCATTTGTCTTGTCTTAGACTAAACTCCCCATACTTCCCATGCTTGTGAGGCTACATAACAAACAAGGGGGACGCATATGCAGTACCTTGCCGTGGAGCCCCTCCTCTGGTGCACCCTCATGCGCGACGGACGTTTGCAAAAGGTCGGCATTTTTCTCTCCTTTCCATTTTGCGTTTCGTACAAACAGAAAAAAAAAAAAAAGTTAAAATGGCAATCTTTGTTTCAATAGATTGAAGTTTATTTTATTATTATTTTTTTTTCAATGTCCTTTTAAAATAATCTATGGTGATTTAAAAAAAAAAAATATATCCATAAAATGAAATAAAAATGGATGTCCTGTAGGAAACACACACACTGGGGCAATAAAAATGGCGTCAACAGAATGTTGGGTGCGATGGTACTTTCACACTGAGATGAGTCCAGTTGCTGGGGAAGCGGAGGTTGGTTGGTAGCAGGCGAGGCCTCGCACTTGGCTCAGGATTTCAACAAGAGCTTGACTCCAAACTTGGTACTGTCCGGGAGGGACATTTTGGTGATGTCGACCTGCGGGTGGTTGGCGTGGAGTGAATGGCGGTGGGTCACTCGCCAGGGGTGACTGGCCATGGGTGACTGGCGCCTGGTTAGCCGCTCCGAGTTAGCTGTGGCTACTTCGTAGCAGGTGATTGGCGCCCCGAGCAACCGTACCTGGGAGCCGAGCGAGATGGAGACAAACTCGTTGTACTTGTGCGTCAGAGACACGGCGACCTTGGTGTCGTTACTAATTTTAGTCTTCACGGCGGTGTTCTTATCGTTGAGGTACCAAATGGAAGCGACGTTTATGCTGGACTTCCTTTCTACGATGTTTTGAATCAGCTCGATGCTCACTGCGTTGTGATTCAAGCTTTTGTTTTGAAAGAAGAGATTTAATGCAAGGCTTCCATACGCGTTCTTGTTGGTGGGGATGCTACGAAAGGGAGGGAAGGGGGGACGGTCCGACCAAATGAGACAGGCGATTCGGATAAATCAGCGGCAGGAAGGGAGTGCAGACCGAATGCTGAGCGAAACGAGGGGAAGCACTCCCCTGACAGGCAAACATTACGATCGGAAGGAGAAGATATATTGGCTGTCATAACTATTCTTCGTGTAGGCGCCTCCAAATGAGTACTGCAGATTTTTCACGTCTAGGTTGCCCTGCAGCATGCCTGAGAAATGGGAGGGAGTGGCGACCCCACGTGAGTAACGAGCGCAGATGTGCGGGGCGGTGGCAACCCCACGTGAACAACGAGGGTAAATGTGCGGAGCGGTGGTAATCCCACGTGAGTAACGAGCGTAAATATGTAGGGGGCGATTCCAGTAGGGGGAAGAAGCGCACCGCGAGGCCTACTCCACGGGACAAGCGTATGCCCAGAGAAAAGCGCTTTTCTCTCACCTCCAAATTTAAACTCGGGAAACTTGGGATGCGAACCGACATGGATGTATTTCAAAAAGAGATTCTTCACATTGACGGAGGAAAATATGTTCATATGGGGCGATGTGTATTCACTGTAGACCTCGAAGGTGTCATCTTCCTTTCCATTGCTCTTGGTGTACTTCCCGCAGAGGTTAAGATTTTTCACGTAGGCGGGCTGGGTGGCAGGGATAGCAATAGGTGTGTAGGGGGGGTAGCAGGGGGTGTGTATGAGCTGTGCGCGACCTCCCGGTTCTGCTTCAGTGCTACGTCACTGCTGAGTGCGCGTTAAAATGGAGATCTAATCTACCTCATACTTAACATCCAGCAGACTTATTCCCGTGGCGTCGAACTTGATTTCATTTTTTGTATTATAAATGTTATTTTTTAAATTGGTGTAAATACTATACGTGTTGTTGGCGAAGGTGAATCCGCTCTTGAGGAACTGCGCGGGGGGGGGGAGGCAGCGGGTTAGCGACATTCGCATCGCAACATTGTAACAGCGCCTCAAGGAGAGCATCTGTGTAACTTCTTTTTGGTGACTACTTTTTCGTGACTGTCTCACTCTGGGAGACACTATTCAGGCCCTCCCATTTGCGCCGCTGTGCCCTACCGGTTGCTTCGAAACACTCGTGTGCTCTAACTCAAATTTGTTCGCGTGGGGAAAGTCATTCTTAATTAAATCTGCCAAGGGGGGAGGAGGGAAGCCGTGTGTTTAAGTGTACAAAAAGATAAGCTAAGCAGTAAAGTAAATGCAGCCACACGTGTACCTCCTCACATGTGACATCATTTCCACGTCGCCACAAAAAAACGAAACAACAGATGTAGAGGAGGTGAGGGGTCATTACCTAGTGAAGGCTTATTAAGCAGCTTCGGAAAATCCATGGTGGATTACAAAACGAAGATGTCTGCGTAGTTGTGTGTGTCTGTGCGGAAGGTAGGGGATAGGAATCTTCAGCCAAGCTGTGGGTTCATAAGCACCTATAAATGTTACCTAGCATACCTACGTGTTTATAATTTTTTGACTAGTGTATTTTTCACTGTGGTGAACTAAGATTCACTGCTTAATCGTTTTGTTTGTTTATTTTTTTAAGGTTGTGGTCGGTGGGGGGGATATAACTATACGCTGATGCAGCGGTGCTTCGCAAATCTCTACTGATGGGGGATACAAGTGTAGGTTGGCACGTTGATCGATTACCACATTACGACATTGCGACATTCTCGCATTTGATCGCGATTCGTTTTTTTTTTTTTTTTTTATTTTGTGCTTTTCGAGCGGGCTACCCGTTTTGGTGTTCACTTCGCATGTGCTTCTCACCCGCTTGGCGTTGCTTTCGATTTTTTTTTTTTCTCCCGATCCTCCCGCAGAGTTGCTCACTTGCAGGAAAATTTGGCGCCCTGGATTTTCCTTCAAATTGTACACGCAGAGGCGGAGTTTTCAGCGTCCCTCGCCCCAAACCGAGTCGCACCCCTCGTGTAATTTCGCGACGAAGACGTGTAGGTGCAAGTGCTGCACGTGCTTTGGGAGCTAGCCGTTCCTTCCTCCACCCCTTGTTGCCACTGCTTCAGCGGTACTACACTTTGGTATAGCCCCTTTGATGAGTCCTCGGGGCGACTGCCCACACAGACATAAATCTCAAGGGTGCAGAACGGAAACCGCCACCTACACCCTCTTAGAAGAGAAGGGAAGAGAACAGCTAAGGGGGAATTAAAAAGTGAACAAGTCGCAAGTAGCCAACAAGGCAAGTTTCCAAAAATGGAGAAAAAAAAAAAAAAAAAGGCATACCCCAAATGAGTAACATTCCACAGTGTGACGCAGGTATGGATGGCTTCTCTTTTGTTATCCTTTCTTATTCTTTCTTAATCTTTTTTTTTTTCTTTTCCAGTTGGAAGCGGGTGAGGGGAAGGAAACCCCCAACTGGTACATGCCTCTACGCGTTCAGATGCCAGCACGCATACAACCCCCGCGTCGCTTAACCGCATAGGTTACGCCCTCCCGTGAGATACCTCAAAAGAATGCACTCCGCGGACACTTCCACTTGCCCTTCCATTTAGATAAATTAGTTGAGCCCCTTACGAACTGATCTCAAGGAATAGTCAACCATTTATGAATAGGCCACTAGAGGTAGAGAGAAAGCATAGGGATTTATTTAAAAACAAAGGGAAGTTTTTTTTTTTTCTTTTTTTTTCTCTTTTTGTTCATTTCATATTTGGGTTACGTTTTTATCGTGATCGGCCAGGTGTGATATACCCCATGCCGGAGCGGCCCTCACAAATTGACATGAGGCAGTTCGTATCGCGGGCTCATTGCGCAGACTTCCCATGTGACTCTTACGATGTGACTCCTCCCATGTGACTCCTCCGATGTGACTCTTCCCAAGTGACCCTTCTCAAGTCACTCTTCCCATTTAATGCTCCCCATTGCGCACATCCCAGTTAACCGTTTGCGTTTTTTTTTCTCCCTTACGTGTGTTAAACGAACGGGGGGGACGGCTTCCCCACGTGATATAAGGCGGAGGCAAAAAAGGGGGAGGAGATCCTGCAGGCACCGCACTAGCAGAGCCACACGCGCCGTGCCACTGAGCAGGTAGAGCGACAAATTTTTTCGCATTGGCTGGTTAGAGGTAGAGAGGCATTTCCCCGTTGAGCTGCTCGCCGGAGAAACCCTTTCCCGTTGAACTAGTGAAGCCTCACCGGCAACTGCATAGCACCATGGAGGATATCCTCAATGAGATCATTTCGTTAAGTGAGAAGAAGAAGCGAGGGGGGAAGTTGCCTACCCAAGGGGGGGGGGACCATCAGGCTGATAGCCAAACTGAGGTCAGCGAGGGGAAGCCTCACAAGGAGAAGCATCATGGGGAGAGTCGTCACGGGGGGAAGGCCCACAAACGGGGCAGTAAGCAGCAAGTGGGAGAAGACCTACCGACTGGGGTTGTTCCCCCCTCCACTGAGGGTGCCCCCCCGTCCAGCGCGTGGGACTCCTCCACCGTGTGTTCCGTGGATGAGGACATGAGCGCGGAGAAGGCTAGCCTGTTCAGTCGGATAATCAGTGAGCGGAGAAGGACGACAGGATGTAGAAACGAAGACGACGAGGAGGGAGCGCTCTTTGGGGACATCGAGCAGGGCATCCATCGGGACACACATCACAACACGCACACATGCGTAGACGGTCCGTACACTTCCGTGGACGGTACGCACGACTGTCCAGTGGACGAGCGCACCCCCCTGTGCCAAAAGTCCAGCAATTTCAATTCCTACCTCCTCACCGTAAATCAGATCAACACAGATATCTCATCCATATATAAAAACATCGACAAAATAAACTCGTGGAAACAGAAAATCGATTTCAACATTTACGACACAGAGGAGCTCAACGGGAAAATCAACTCAACGATATCGAATACAGAGGATATCATTTCTCAAGTTATGAAAAATATCTTCCATTTAAATGAGGAGAATAAGCAATTCGAGACAGGTACCAATCTGCTCAGCGAAATTAAACTCCGCACAAATATATTCATAGACATCGTCCAAAAATACAAGGCCTGTATTAATAAGTATAAAAATGTCTGTCATCATTATTATGAACATGTTAATGCGAATTTGCTGAAACAGTATAGGTTGATATGTCCCAGTGTGACGGATGGGGAAGAGGCAGGCGGGGGAGGGAGGAGGAGGAAGGGAATGGCAGGGAGGAACACTACGTCAGGGGGGAAAGTCTGCAAGGGAGCAAGAGCCGACTTAGCTGACATGGAACAATTTTTTAATATGCAAAAAAAGAACAGATACAGTAACTTAACGGAGCATAGACCCCCAGACAATGCTGATGGGGTGAACATACAAAAGATGAGAAAAAGATACAAAGAGCTGAAGACACTGGAGAAGAACATCTCCGCACTGAATGATCTCTATATCGAGCTAGCCTATGTGGTAAAAAAAAGGACCAACTATATTAATAGCATAGAGAATAATGTATACCAAGTGAAGGACTACACGGATGACGCGCTGAACAACATTGTTGCCGCGAAGAAGTACAATGCCCTCGTGAAACGGAAGATTTTTTACTTCAGCGTCTTCCTCCTTGTCGTCGCCCTTATCATTTTGTTCCCCGTTTTTTTCAACTACTCCGCTTATGGGCGGGGTGGCAGAAGAGCTCAGCGGCGTTGAGGTGAAGCGGCGCTGAGGTCAGCTGCATTGAATGCGTTACTCCTTCCCTCCCTCGGCCATATCGCTGATGCGACGCGGTTCTCTTTTGCGTAACTTTGTTTTGTATTTTGCTCCTTTTTTGCGTTTCTCTTTTTTGTTTTATCCTAGGATTTTTATTTTTTCTCCTTTTTAAATGGCCCATCTGCCGTCCGCAGACAGACAGGCAACGCGCACAGGGGGGGGTAGTTCTTCCCCTCTTCCACTCTTCCTCTCCCACTCCATGCCTAGCAATAACACCGTGATAACTCCACCGCTTCATCACACTGATGTGTGTAAAAATGTATTAACCGTTATGTAGAAGGTTCCGAATCGGGGGGACATTTTTTCCCACCTCTTCTCCGCCCGGTCCTCAACGATCCATTCTGCGTCTTTTCATTTGAGCGAACTGCTGTGTGATCACTGTCGGGCGAGGTACACCTCTCATTTGGAGAACGCTGCGGTGAGTCCCTTTCTCACCCTGTTTCTTCATACAGACCCATTTGCATGCACGGCCGAAGGCACAAAAAAAATTGACAGTTAAAGGGGGCGAATGTCTAAGGAGTTGGAAAACTTAAAGTTCAAGGTGGATGCTTGCGGTTGGAGGAAGGCGCATTGCTGATGGCAAGCCGCCCAAGCGACGACTGCGCAAACAGGAGAAAAAAAAAAAAAAATTCACGGCCGAGCGGTATACTCTTCATATATCTCCAAAATTAACTCCTTTAAGAGGGGCGGAGTGAATACTGTCCTCATTGGATTTTCATCGATCATTTGCTTCTGGTAACACTCGCATATGAAGCAGTAGAGGATGGTGTCCGTGAGGGTCGACACGGTGGTGATGAAGTGGGAGGTTATCATCCCGCACAGCACTCCGATCGTCTGTGGGGGGGGAAATGGGGGGTAGGCGACCCGTACGGAGGTGAACTGAACAGACGTACGCACAGGTATGGAAGTGTATAATACAGACATATGCACACACATATGCAGAGAAGCATGCACAATGGCGCTTCCACTTACCAGTGCCGCAAAAAACGGGTTGGGGACAAAACTGGGGGAGAACAAATTGCCGTATGGCTCAAAATTGTTGAAAATCTGCAGAGGGGACCAGTAAAGGAGTGGAAATCCAAACAGTGATGAAACACGCGCTTCATGCTGAGGCCAGGTGGACCTTTACAACGTCCAGCTTGTTCCTGCGTTTAGTGACGTGAAATGAA